GCCCGAAACGTCAGCCTTCCTGCTCCTATGATGCTGCTTGGCCTGCTGTGTTCATCCAGCTCTACACCTTTTATCTTAGCCAATACTTACTGCTCTGGACTTGAAATGGAGGATATTCGAGACTCTACTGGCAGTGCATTACCTCTTGGTTTCTTAACTGGTGGTCTTGGAGGACGTGCCTGAAATACACAGATTTGTATTAGAACAAAACTCGTCAGTATTAAAACACAATCGCAGACATTGTCTCGAAAAAAATCAATTCCAGCTATCCAGAAGTTGAAGAATGAAATGCGCAGACTAGAATTTTCATGTAATAGTTAAAACATACGTATGCAGAACAGGCCAAGCAGTTATGGAAGAAACCCAAGCAGAGAGCTTGTCATCACTTCAGATTTAGTTTGTCAACATCCTATGAGTCAAACTTGCCGTTAATTATAAAGTACACCCTGGTCAACCAAGTAGAGATTCTGTGTTTTAATCATGAGGGATGAATCTATGTCTACCCAGGTGAAGTGTAACAATAACACTGCTGTAACCTTAATTGAAAAAAAATTCTGTTTCACATCGTCCTTAAAAAAAATCTTACTTAAGCTTTGGAAACCTGGTCCAAACAATAGCTATTATTAGGTCATCAAATGTCTGTCTTGAAATAATCAATAGAGTTCATGAAAGCATTGTTCAATCACTATCAACTACTCAGCAAGGATACCATCCATAGCTGAATAAGGCCTTCTCCTAACATTGTTCATTAAACATGTCCCTAAAGAAAGAAACCAGCCAGATGCTTATTTATATGAAATGCACTGTACATTGCATGAGAAACCTACATCTTGAACTTAATAGATCATTAAATTAAGACAGATTCAAGGACACAAATGTGAAACAAAAGCAAGATGCTTGGAAACATAGAGCAACAAGTATGTTTTATGTAGTTTGTAGTGCAACCACGTTAAGCGAAATCTGTGAGCATTCAGAACAGAAAGAATTAAAGCAGTCAATTTGTGAAAAGCTCACCATGCTGTGAGAATGCTCAAAAACTGCACATTTAGAAGCTCAAAATTAATGAGCAGATAGTGGGGAATGATTCTGAAGCTGAAACATGAGCAACAGGTTTGGCTGATGTCATAGTTTGTGTAACACCTGAAGTCTGAGGTTGGATTAAACATTGATTCTCTCAACCCACATATACCTTTACTGTAATGGATTCTCAGTTGTCAGTGGAAGTACTCATGGATTCTCAAATCATCCCATGAGACATCAATATTGAAGAATCTAGCATCACATATGAAAAATATTTTTCATAGTTCAGTATAGAGTTAGTCATTGTAGACATTGAGACAATAATTACAGAATCAATACAATACCTCATTACACCAAAAATGTCTGTTTCACACCTGAACTTATATTCTGTATTACTACCAGGCACAGGGTTTAGTAAAACTTTCCACGCCAAACAGCTTCTGTTGGTAGTGTTATAGAAATCGTGAGGGTTGAGAGTTCTTAGCACTCCAATAACAGCAGTTTACATGCTTGCGTACTGGTGTGTTTGCTGCTATGTTCACTGCAAACTATGTTGAACTTTTCTGTTAAATAAAATTTAATGTTTTATTTAGGCTTCTGAATTGGCTTCTTTAGAACTGTAATGTTCTGAAGAAAGGTCACTGCACACGAAACGTTAACTGTTTTCTCTCCATAGATGCTACCAGGCCTGCTGAGTTTATCCAGCACTTTCTGTTTTTGTATGTTTCAGATCTCCAGCATCTGCAGTTCTTGGTTTTATTTGAGGGACCTAGCATTTCTGTTTGGTCTGGCCTGCATGTAACTTCAGATTCACAGTATAGTTGTCTTAATGCCCCTAATCACATGTGGCTGATAAGTTCTACAACAGATGATATTTGAAAATGTGTGAGTAGGATATTTTTGTGAAAGGGCTTGGGGACCCTGTAGCAAGCTTGTGATGTGTTAGAGCTGCTCCCCTAGTGGGCATAAATAGCACAGTGTCTAGGTGGTAGTTCAATGTGTGACAGAGATTGACAAACGCACATGTAGAGAATAGTTTTTCAAGAATCTAATGGTAAGATTACAGCTTGGTATATCTCTAATTACCGTGTATTATAGCAGTTGGTATCGATAGGCTTCTTTAGAATTGTTTATTACATAAGTCTGAACACAGTTTTTGACCTCGCCTTCTCCTTGACTAGTCTGTCTTGAACTCAAATTCTTAAATGAGAGCATAATATTACGCAATAAAAGGAAAGGCACTGAGGTTCTGCATAGATTTGATTCAGTTGTTTGCTTCGGCCTGGTTCAGGTTGCCCATTGGCTATCTTTTCTTATCCCCTGTCATCCCTCTCAATGTGATTCTCTCTACTCTCCATTTCCATTCCTCTGTGTTTCAAGAGGCATCCAATCAGGAAATGCCAGAATCAAGAGTGAGAGCTATACACAGGAAACTGAAATAGAGGGGAAGAGCTGCCTCTCAGCAACCGAACAATCACATGTGGAAAGGTGCCACATGTTCATCCCCAAACAAGCCCTCATTCTGACTACCAAAAATAGCTATTTTTTTCAGCACGTGACAGAAAAGGGCTTCACATTTGGAAAAAAAAGTTGATGTTGCACTGGGGGAATGGAATCTATTACTAAAAAGCAAACGCTACATTTATAGTCATCTGTATTTTGAAATAATAAATATATACACTCATTGTAGTCTATCAGTGCAAAGCCTTATTTCTCAATGAGCAGAAACATATGCAAGGGCTAACAGTGCCACAAAACAGATAATTTAGACTCAGCTGAAACACAGAGTAGCTTTAAACTGGTGATATCATAGCATAAAATTCTTAGAACCAATATTATCGGATGTTATCACCTAATACAGTTGCTATTTAAAGGCAATTAAGTAAACTAATAAGTAGCATGTGCTGCTGCTGGGCTAAAACACATTCAGGAATATCATCCAAATTGCCAAAAATGTACAAACACTGCAAAAAATTGCTGTTAGCCAAACAATGTTTAGTATTATAGTTTATTAGAAAATGCATATCATATACTTTAAATTATGATTAAAGTACTTCTGAAAATGTTGTCACAAGAGCATGCCTCTTTTATTCTTACCTTTTTGCCCATTCCTCCTACCCCCCACATCTCACCCCCACCACCCCATGTGTTTCAGTCCTTTCACATAAAATGTTCAAATATCCAGGATTCAACCAGCTGCTTTTTTTTTTACAATGTCTCAAACCAGTGGCACTGCACAATTCAAAGGGGTACGCATTGCTTTTATCCCTCCCCCTCCAAGGTGGTACCTCCCACTTATGAGCGTTGTTGGAACACGATTTCACAACCACAGTGGTGTGAAGATGCTGCGTTGCTGGCTTCTTTTGTGGGTCATTTTGTTCCCTTGCTGTTTTGTCTACCAGATGCCTTTTAACTAATTTTTGTTTAGGAAAGTAAAACAGATAATGAGAGGGGTTACCAATTACAGACACAGATACAAAATAGAATGTAATGTCAGTTTTTAAATATATTTAGTAGTTTCACTTAAGTTTCTTTTATATAACCTATTGCAGCTGGTTTAAAACCATTAAAGAGCAATTTCTGATTAATGGGCTCAACGTGAAGAAGTAACAGTAAAGATTCCACAGACGTTACTTTGTGGGAATTGCTGTACTAGAAACCTGGGAAATGTTTCAGTGTAAGTGCCAGGGACCAGAAGTCCAATTTTCAAATTTACTAATCTGTAAGTTGGCTATATTGACCATTTCCATTCAGGGCTAGAAATGTAAGATCATAAACAATCTATGAAGTTATGAACTTCATCAAGCAATATGTTTGGGATGTTTACAATAGCATTTTTAATATTCATTTTAATGCAAAAAATCTGTGAGCAATATTCAGTGAATTTATGGAAAAAGTCCAATTCTACACTGATGTTCCCCAATTTAAAAAGAAACAACAAAAGAAATTAAATGAAGCATTCATGGGTTTAACTCTGTGTAGAATACAACAAAAGTTTAGCAGCGAGGGGGTTGGTGTTCAAACCATGACCTCAGTGTAGCCAGTGATACTGAAGAAAGAGGTCAGGAAAGGTCAGTCTGTGAACTTGCTGAGGAGGGGGCCAGGCCCCAGACAAAGCTGCCCTTCCACACAATGGAGACAGCTTAAGCATGTGAACCCATTGGTAGGAACAGAAGGATTAAGTTTGTGGCAAGTTTGCCTGAACTTGCAACAGGGAGAAACATGGGGGAAAAGAACAACAGAGCTAATTAGCAGAGCTGAGCTGTCAGACCGCAGCTGAATGGCTCAGTGCCAACAAACAAAAGGAGAGGCCTGGCAATCAGCAGGATCGATGGAAAAGACTGCTTCATTAGGGATGATAGAACGAAGAAGGGAAAAAAGAAAAGAGGCTGTTTAATTAAGCTCGAGCTGGAAGGTGATGCGTGAAGCTTGCCTGTCATCGTGCTGCTAATACTTTCACCTTTCCGCCAGAGCTTTGAAAAGCCAGCGATTACCCCACTAGTGTCAGCAACACTAGATATATCTGGGGAGAAATGCAGAAAAGAATTGGAGCCATAGCCTAAAGGGACTTCAGTGGAAAGTCAGAAAAAAAAGCAGATTCCCTACAGTGTTCTGAACCTGACAAATCCAACTGGGCAAAGCTGAATTTGCTTTAGACCCAACTGCTCACATTTAATCATTAAACATAAAATTCAAGCTTATGTTCAAAACAGCAGCTCTGTCTGCAATGCATACAGCAACGTAACAATGTGCCACTTTTACAAAATGAATTTGTACTTATGAAGAGTAAAATAGTTTGATTAACTACAGCTGCACAATTACTAAATACATAATCACAAGGTACCGACCCTTTTATCTAAAAATATGATAAATATAGCATGTTAAAATGTGATGTTAATTGTTTAGCTTGTGCAGGGCATTGCACTATATAGTGTAGCACTATACCTCACTGGTTTATGTCAAGATTATGCAAGTCCTGTAAATGAAAAGTGCTGGCAGCATCAATGAACAATGAGTCCTTTCTGACAAGTAACATAAACTAAGTAATACACCATGATCCGCTGGGATTTAATATATTCTGTGGACTCTTTAAATGGTGATAAGATACAATAGGAGGTTCTTTTAAATTAAAAAAAAAGTGAATTTTACTTATAAGAAGGAGACATATTAGTAAAACCTGGATGGAGCTAAAGTGGAAGAGAACCTGCTCTTTAACTGCTCCTGAAATGTCACTGGAGGGTTGCTGCATGCATAGTATTAAGTGTTGAATGATAGCTTTATAATTAATTAACAACCGTAACTGGCATTAAATTTCTACATCCTGTACTCACTTTGACAAAGCAAAGTGAATTTTAAGTGTTTTTACCAACAGGTAAATTATATTCCAAATCAGCCATATCTGATGAATTACAGATTTATAGGCATAACTGATTAACTGCAGTGGCTTGATGCTCACAGCAGCCAAGCTGAAGGAAAAGTGAATGTAACGCTCACATCAATGTGGACTGTGTTCAGATCTTGAAATACAAACTCTTTCCCTTGTCTGTCTAAACCTCGCATCTTGTTTAAGTTTATAACTACACTTAGTATCTCTCCTCTATAGCATTTGGTAAAAGTACATGTGAAAGAGCTGTTATTAATCAGAGACATGACATGCAGACAAACGCTGAAACAGAAGTAAAAAAAAGGCAAGATCTGGTACAGTGAGATAGTCAGTTATTTCTGGTGGTACTACCAAGAGATAATCTGTTACATTTAATTATGGATTTGAATGTATTAAATAAAATAAAGTTTGCATTCTTCTCACCGTAAGTCAGAGGCCTATCAAACTTGTATATATTTTCAATTTTCAGACCTTCTGATATAACTCACAAAGATAGAATTGTATACCTCCTGAAAACCAACCTTGGCACAAATGGTACTGTGTGTGTGTTGGGGCCATGGATTCCAACCCTCATATCATACTTAATACCTATAATGTTTCTTGCGTGATGCACTGGCAAAGCAGAAGCATAGCCTTTGTTTTGCTGCGATGTGAGGATTAGGGGTGGCAGATTGTGAAGAATACAATACTGTCTGAGGTGCTAGAGCAAACAGTAAAAAAGAACAATGATAATGATGCCTCTTATACTAAGGACAGAATCCATTAATTTCTCTTCCTTAATTGATACTATTTGGTTTAACTTTTCTTTCAAATCAAATCTCAGCTAATATTTGTGCAACCATCCTTTTGGTCCTTTGGATTAATAGCAAACTGCAGGGTCCAGGGCAGAAGGTCAAACATGTCCCCATCCCAGTCAGCTATTACGCTTGGTTCCCTATTGCTACAGCTAATGGGTCTGCAGAAATTGTGCTCACTGCTTGTGACTTCCGAGCTGAGTATCACACACTTCTTAAATGATTCTCAAAGACAGTATTATTCTAAAGCAGCTTATTACATGAAATGTAAAATCAATTTTGAAAATGCTGATACATTTTTGATACGATTGTCTTTTTTTTTAACTCCACAGAATACTAGCTTTTGGCTATACATCTGAATTGGCTCAAATGACTTAGGAATGACATTTCAGTAATGCTGATTTTTGGAATCCAAAAAATAAACCATAAAACATGCATGAAGACAATTAAGAGGAAGTATTGAAATGAACAGTGTTTGCTTAAGTTTACCTGTTGTGAGCATCATTTGAGTTGTTAAATGGTACACAAGTTTCCCATTTACAATCCCCAGTAACTGTCAATACCCACTTTTTTGGGGTCAAGCTATTTCTATATTTCTTACTTACTTGGTTGTGTGCCAGTCTACAATTGAGAAACTGACAGATGACCTGCTCGCACACCTTTAATTACACCATTTTGTACTAACATGACATTCCGTTCTTTCTGTGAGGAATAATTTAACCTCCACTCTCCAACAATACTGGGATAGGGAGCTCTTTGAATGGAAGAATCACAGCTGTCAATATTTGTCATGGCATTCTGAAACGATGCATTTTGTTTGAATAGTCACATACTACTTCAACACATCAAGTGCAAATTTTCAATGCAGTTCATCTAAGGTTGCACTACTTACTTCTATAGTGCATTGGTCAGGTTACAGAATTAGCTTTCCAAAATTCTGAACATTGAGAAATCTGAAAACATCCCAAAAACTTGCAAAAAAATGCCCACAAAATGCCCCGTGAAATGAGCCACATGCATAATGCAGCGGAGCCATTTGAGAACACTGCACACTGTACAAATATTGTAGGTTATAGAACAAATATGTACTTAGTGAAAAGGTTAGGCCACCTCTGAGTTGTACTACATGCATGTTTTCTGTGTACTAATACAAACTGCCAAATTCAAGCATGCAGTTGAGGTTAAAAACTTGTATCCAGACATTAGCGTTCTAGTGGTGTTACCCAGGATTCCTATGAAAATGCAAATGAGCAACATTATTGCCACAGTTTTAATCGAATGCCAATCATAACTAATTCACCATACATAAGAAGAATTAGGAACTAGATGAAGAAATAAGCAGAGTTTCACACCTGTCCAAGAGAAAATTGAGCAAAGATCCAATCCTTTGCTACAGGACCATATAGCACAACTGAAGAAAAGGGTAAGTAGTCAGCAAAGCAACTTAGATGGTGTTAAATGCAATTAAGGAGACACACAGCTTCTGTCTACTCACGGGCAAAGTAGCACTGTTTGTCTTTGGAGGTGGTGGGCGAGGTGGAGGGACTCTCTCTGGCTGTATTAAAGTGGAAACTTAAACATCAGAACAGAAGCATCCTTCAATTCAATTAAAATAAAAACAAACATAGCAAGCAACTTATAAAATAATACAAGCATAGATATTTGCACATGTTGTGAGTTCATTATCCCAGATATGTGCGTTCATATCAAGAACTTGATCTGACACAATGGGCTCGGCTATAACAAACTTTTACATATTTTTAAATAATTTATCCCGTACCAACTTTCAGAAAGGCATTATTTTTAATTATGGAGCAAGAGAAAAGAGTAAAGAACCTAACAGTCAAAACCCACAGTGAAAATTCTTACATACATATACATAATTTTGTAAGACATGTCACTTCCATGTAACGCTGCAGAGCTTCACAATTATTTTTATTCAAATCACGAGTACAGTACTCAAATTAAGTAGCTCTGGCAGACATTATGACTTAAATCCATTTAGTTCTGTGCGAACAAAGACTGAAACTTTCATGAACTGAATTTATTTGGATTTTGTTCTTTCTCTATGATACTCATAGCCTGGTTTGTCAATTGTAATGTCACTATGCTGGAGATGACATTCAATATTCAAACGGGGGAAACTTGGCACAATAATAGAACATGTTGGCTTTCCTTATTAAAATTAACAAAATTGAAAAGCTCTCCTTAAAGGTACTTTAACTATAATATGTTCCGTTTCCTCATTTATGAGTTTAATCAAGGTTGGCCAGACCATTAGACAGCATGTTTGCATTAGCTGACCATTCTTTTGGGGGCAAGCAGAAAGTTTTCCTTTGGAAAAATGTAGTCTTCCCATAAAATGTGATCCTGTTGACATGCCTCAGCGTTTTATCATAGAGTATTTTCAAGGTTGAGACAGATTTTAAGTCATTAAAGATAGAGTCATTAATTAAGTAGTTTGCTTGAAGTTACTGTGTTTGAAATGCAAATATGATTGCCATACCAAGGCGAATAAAAGCTTGCTATTGGAAACTTTAAAAATAATATCAATGAAATATAAGCGATCACAACAAACACATCACAATAAGAGATCATTAAATTCCAACTCATGATCAAGTGTACATTTTCCGAATATAATGATCATTCATTGGGCTAAAACATGTTTATTTTAAAAGAAAATTCTTTAACCCAATGCCTTTTCCAAATAACTGATTAAAAACAAATGATTTAAGGTTGAAAAAAAAATCAAAATTGATTTTAAAAATAACCAAAAAATAGATTGCCAATGTAATTATCCAAGATGATCTGAAGAACAAATGATTAACTTAGGGAAAGGATAAGACCTTTTTTCCTGAGAATGTGCAGTTTTAAATTTCCCGAAGGATATGGTGTCCTTCACTGCTTCCAAATATTAGTAACCTCCTCTGCTAGAAAGCAATCCAGAGAGTTTTGAATATAAACAGGTGGAAATACAATTTTCACACAATCATTTAGCTTAAAACAGGAAATGAAGCATAAGTTTACTGGAAGAATGGTTTGAGATTTATTATCCCCCCAGCAATGCTTTGGGACTTCATCCACAAACTGCACAGGGTCAGATTTCATCTGGATTTAATAAAATCCTTCGAGGACAAGGCTATATTTTGGATATAAAATTGCTAATAAGAATTTTTCCTTAGTTCCGTCTTTTCAAATGACCTGAGGCTCTGTGCTTCTGTAGGCATTTTTTTCTGGTTTATAAACTCAGTATTAGGAATATGCAAAGAATCATTTATTTCATTTACGTGACAGAAATGATACCATGTCATACATTTCAAGCAACATTTTAATTAATTGTTACAATAAGCAGCTTACCAATAAAACCTGAAGAAAGAAAAAGTCTATTCTTAGTGATGCTTGAAAGGGTTTATTAGTAATCTGCCTCAGCCTATGCATCACGGTCACTGCAGTAGTGCCAAATAACCCTAATAGCAAAGAGATTCAGTGAAGTGTATAATAATAAAACAAAAGTCAAGACTGTATTTCAGATTATTCAGGCTTCTAGAACAATGGAAATTAAATTCAGCTCTATGTTACAGATCTGCCTTGGTTTTTACTCCATTATGCCCATCAGTGCAACCTTCAAAATAAGTTTAGACTTGAAGCTTAATTTGTTTAGAAATGTCTATTATTTGTTTAGGAGTACAGAACTACTAAGATATCGAGGAATTACAACAAATAATACATACATAGATATCAATGTGGACATAGAGCTTATATTCACTATAAACAGACTTCGTGATTTACACAGAAACTGATTTATATTTTAAGAAATGCTTATGAGAAGCGATGCTAGAGGAGAATAGTTATCTATGTTACATTGAATAGTTCCTTTATATTTTTTTCTTATGTCTGAGGTCTTTGGCCCATTCAATGCATCTCTTCTGCTTCTAGCCAATGCCTCTTCATGGAATACAAGTAACTTACAGCTCTCTATGATTAACCTTCTGCAATCTGCTCTTGTAGAAATGCAAAACAAATGTCGAACATGGATCTGCCTCTAACTTTCCCCTCACTCCATGGGAAAATGCCTGGCATTCATTTGAAATTTAAACGTTGGCTACTAAATGACATGTGTATTCTCTTAACCATTACACAGATTTACTTTGCAATACACAGCCTGAAAAGGTTCCTGTAAAACTAGTTTTGGAAATCCTCTGGCATTGGTGCAATTGTGGTAGTAGTAAAGATAGTCTGCCATGCCAAACTTGATAATAGGAATCTATTAATCTAATGGTAGAAGATACTTCAAACACCCCATTAATACTCAAGAATATAGAGGAGGAACCAAGTACCACCACGATCATTAGAGAAGTCATATGAAACAAACTAATGGGCCCAAAGCCAGCAAGTCCACTGGCCCTGATTACTTGTACCCTAGGATCTTAAAAGAGGTAGCTACAAAAATCCTTGGATTCTGGAGAAGTGCTGGAGATTTGAAAAACTCCAATGTGACACTCCTATTCAAACAGGGAGGCAAAAACTGGGCAACTATAGGCCGATTAACCCGGCATCTACAATTGGAAAAATATTGGAATCAATTATTAAGAAAGTATAGCAGAACATTTGGAAAATCATAATCTAATGAAGCAGAGTCAGCTTGGCTTTATGCAAGGGAAATCATGTCTGACTAATTAATTGGAGATTTTTGAAGACATCTCAACCAGAGGGGATAGAAGGGAACCAGTTGGACTTCCAGAAGGCATTCAACAAGATACCTCACAAAAGGTTAAGTCTTAAGATAAGAGCCCCATTTGGAGGCAGTATAGAGAATGACATGGATAGGGAAATGTCTCATGCGCACGACACAGATAAGGTTTTTTTGCAGGTTTGGTGACCTGTGACCAGTAGGCTTCCATAGGGATCAGTGCTAGGATTGCAACTGTTCACAATATATATTAATGATGGAGGAAGGATGTGAATGTACTGTAAACAAATTTGCAGATAACAAAAATAGGTGGAAAGACAGATTGCCAGAGGGATGGAGACAATTTACAGATAGATATTGATAGGTTAAGTATTTGGGCAAAGAGTTGGCAAATGGAGTATAATGTGGAAAAATGTGAAGTTGTTCATTTCAGAAGAGAGAACAAAAGAACTGAGTATTATTTAAATGAAGTAAAAATGCAGAAAGCTGCAACATGAAGGGACTTGGGGTGGGGGTAAGGGAACTCAAAACTAGCACATAGGTGCAGCAGGTAATCAGGAATGATAATTTAATGTTGCCCCTCATTTCAAGGGGTTTGGAGTATGAGTAGGGAAGTTTTACTACAACCGTACAAGGTGCCGTTGAGATCACATCTGGAGTACAGTGAGCAGTTTCAGTCCCCTTACCTAAGAAGAGATATTACTTCATTGGAGACAGTTCAGAGAAGGTTCACTGGGATGATCCCAAGTATAGAGAGATTGCCTTATGACCAAAGATTAAAAAGATTGGGATTCTGCTTATTGGAGGTTAAGAGGGCACAGTCTCAGAATTAAGGTGTACCAATTTAAGACTGAGATGAGGAGAAACTTCTTTCAGAGAGTTGAGTGTTTTTGGAACTCCTTGACACAGAGACGTTTTGGGGCAGAGTACTTGTGTGCACTTAAGGCTGAGATAGATACATAGATTCTTAATCAGTAAGGGAATCAAGGGTTATGGGGAAAGGAAGGAAAGTGGATGTGAGGAATGTCAATTGGACCAGCTGTGACCCTGTTGAATTGTGGAGCAGGTTTGAAGATCTGAATGGCCTACTCCTGTTGCTATTTCTTATGGTCTTAATGAACTACTGGTACAGGAGATGTTTGCTCAGAGTGCGAAGCCAATCACTCAAAATCTGATGAAGTGGCAGCTCTTAAAGGACTGCAGGTTGCCATAAAAGCTAAGACATGACAGTGGCAGAAAATGGTACAATTGCTCAAAGGGCACAATAGAAATGGGCAACAATGTTTCTCCATATTGAAAATTTAGAAGTTTGGCTGTAGGAGACACCCCAAGGCAAGTTCGCACTTAAACCAAAGGTGCTGAAAACGGATCTCCTCGAACTTGTCCAAGACACACGTGGAGAGACCTTGCGAATGGATGTCCCTGTGTATTGACTGGCATGACCAAAATGTCTCAGTAGGTGTAGCTCCCATAGTCTCAGAAACTGTCATCCCTCATTTCAATTATTCAGTGAGTTCAAAACCACCCAGTGCTCACTTCTTCATACAGTATGATTTTCAAGGAGAAACGTCACAGGCTCCTAAGTGAGGAAGGCATTTTGAATTATTGAAGGCAAGCACTGTTAACAGAGGCTATAAGGAGTAATAGGCTATTGTCTCCTGCCACTTTGCTTGATTGCCGTAGGAGCTGGAGGAATTTTCCAGTATATTTCCTGAGTTAGCAGTATTTTTTTTCCCTCCGGTTCTTTTCCACTCCTAGGAGATTATGCAGTTAGGATTCAATAGTTTTTTTTCCCTCTATTTCCTGTATGTTTGTGTGCCAAACTGAAAATAATGAAGTACTGATGGGGAAACATCCCTGAAATGCAAAAGAAAACCCAACAAGGCAAGGTGGTTGCAACATGCAACA